AATTTTTTTTTTTTTTTTTTTTTTTTTTTTTTTTAACTATAAAGAGTAGTAAATGGTAACATTTCCCAATTAAAATTAATAAAATGGCGGAACCAATGAAAATAGAGCTACGCTACGTTCGGTATATTTGATTTTGTTTGCATATTATTTTTATATCGGTATTTTATTTTATTACATTTTGCAACATCTCTAGTTCAAAGATTTAGATCATGTGACAATGTGTGGCCTATGCTTGGAACAATACGGCGGCTCGGGTGTTAATTGTATAAAGTCTTCATGCTTTAAAAAATAATTATAGTTATTAGTATATATTTTAGTTTAGCCATTCATACACATACATTTTCTGCATAACTGTATTTTTATGTAGTAATTTTTTTTTTCTCCAGAATTCGGCTAAACTCCATTTGGGAGAAAAAATAATATGGCACAGCCAGACAACTGCAACTTCTGTAAATGACGTCATGCTTTGTTGTTTTCATTTGTGACTCCAATTTTAGTCATGAAATCTACCCCGAAAGCATTGGAGGATTGGAAAAAAGAAAGAAAACCGAAATTTAAAAAAAAAATAAAAAAAAAAAAGAATTGTTTTATGTCTTTGTTTATCCTAAGTTTCTTTTCTTATTTTTTTTCCTCCCTGAGGACAAAGCGTACACCGAGCTGATCACCATCTTTAAAGTGCCAGGCTGAATGTTTGGCTCAAAACAGCCACTAAAATATGGAAGAACTTGTTGGCCACAAATGCAGCGAATAAGTGTTAACGAAAAACTAGTCGTCACAAACTATAATGTACTACAGAGCTTAACCGTGTCCAGTTTTTTTGGAGCCAAATGTTACAAAAAAGAATTAAATCCCCATTTCTTTAATATATATATATATCGGTTTTTTTAAACGATAGGCCTCCAGACAGTCTTATTCCTTACCTTCCGGTCTTTAAACAATAGTCCTGCACCCTACATTCCGGCCTCAAACACTATTCCTACACGGCGGCGTAGCAAGGGGGGTGCGGACCGCACCGGGTGACACCATCTCATGGGTGACACCAAATTGAAAAAAATGCATATTTACAGAGCAAACACTGCTCGGTCTCACCGAATTTCATACAAGGATAACCAATAACATGTAAATTGTTCACACATGTAACCAATCCAAATGCGAGCTTTATTAAAAGTTCAAGGTTGATGCGTCAGAAATGAGGTGACCCTATAATTATGGTCAGAAAAACACCATTTTCATCATTATTCATCGCTGACTGAAGTATTCGGTAACTTTCGTTAGTGACAAGATGCTATATTTAGCTAAATTCTGAGAAATAAGCTTTCCATTGATACCAATAAATACGATCTGGTATTCTCAGTACATGAATGGAATCGGTAAAAACTAAAAACATTAAACATTACTTTTTACCCATTATAATATAGGGTTAACAATTTACAATATTTACAACATTTTCTAATATATTTTAATAATTAAATTAAAATTTAAAAACAGGGTTTTTGAAACAAAATATATTGAAACCCAGAAACATTTTCGCCCAATCCTCACTAGTACCACCCCTTATCATTTGAGCACGACTTTCATAAAACACGAGGTCTTCTAAATGTTTCGTCCGTGATTTCACGTGAATCTGCTATTATTACCTTTGGGATGATCTACTTAAGGAATTTAATCTTACACAGCAATATCTGCATACTAAAGGCTTTACAACTGACAAAGTGGTGACCAACAAAGAGGCCTTAAGATTTTTTGTCACTTGGTGGAACATGCTATTGAAAAGGCACTTCTAAAATCAGACCAAAATGGAATTTCGGTAGAGAGAAGATTAAGGTTGCAGAAGAGAATAGCAGGAGAGCTATTTACGATCCTCCATGGGACAGTCAATGGTTTCTGATATGGCTCTACTATCAATTTAAAGAGATACGGTGAAGAATGTTGATTTTGATCAAGTGATTGACAGGTCTGCAGCTTTGAAGATCAAGAAAGGAGAGTTTTAAATTAAGTAAATTCAATGTGAAAATAACTATAACATAACACCGTTGTTATAGTTCTTAAATAAATTTACTCCCTGACCTTCAATTAATTTGATTTTTTTCTTGTCTTTGTTATACTGTGGCAGTGGCGTAGCTAGGCGGTGCGGACCATCTCAGGGGGTGACACCAAGTTGAAGTGCTGCATATTTACACAGCACACACTGCTTGGTCTAACCTATCGAATTGACTAAACTAAAAGCATTCAACACCGATTGAAGTGTTCGGTAACTTTCCTAAGTGAGAGGAAGCTCTATTTATCTTACTTCTGAAAAATACGGTTTTCCATTGATACCAAATACAATGTGGTCGGGCGATTTTAAGTACATGAATCGAATCGGTAAAAAATAACAATTGCAGCAATAGTTTTCTTGCACGTTTGGTTGAATCTGGAAATTTGATTTCTGTTTCCTCATAAAGCCACGCCATCGCTCCTTTTATATTAAATAAAGTTTTAACAGACTCATCATTTTGCACTTCTGTGAGTTCTTCTTGATGCTGCATATTTTAAATATATATCAGACAAATCCATAACATTGGCTGCATCATCTAAGTTGGAAAGTCAATTTGTTTCAAATCGGAAAATCTTTCTTTTAAATCAGCCGATAGAATTCTCTGATGCTCGACAATAACAAGTATAGTGGTATCAGTCACTTCATATTTGTTGGAGTTAATGAAACTTTTCAAAACTTATTTGTAAATATTTTTCGGACATAATTCAATAAAGGCAATGAAACCAAATAGCTTCGCTTTGGCATCGACAAGAGTTTTATTTGTTCCTTGAAGTTTGTTATATAATATATTTAGATTTTCATAGATATCGGCTAAATAACTCACAAATGCTTTACCGTCAACTGTTAACAGTACTCCATTTCATGTTTCTCAATTAAAAAGTCATCAAGAGTATCAAATAGCTCCATAAATCTATTCAAGCAATTCCTTTTCGAAAGTCATCTTACGTCACTGTAAAAGTCTCACATAGTCTCACATTTTGTTCTTCACAAAATAGCTTGAAGAGACTTCACATTTGGCATTAGCTTTAATAGCATTATACACTTTATTGTTGAATTTAGTATTTCATTTAGAACACGCGAAATGTTTTCGCATCCTGATCTTGTGCAACCTGATCTGATGTAACCTGATCGTGTGCATATATACACTTTATAACTTATAACTGAATTAAGTACTTCATTTTTTAGCTTCTAAGTTTTCAACATGAATACCACAATGCACAAGTAGAATTTCTGGATTCTCATCTTCCACAAATTTTAAGCAGCCATTTTTCTTGCCCATCATGTTAGGAGCCCCATCTGCTTTCTAATGATTTTTGCTGGCATCAGTCCGTCACAATAATAAATAATAATAAAGTTCATTTCAAAAACACGCTTCATCCCCAAAGGCTCGAAGCGCGGTACAAAGTCAACAAAATGCAAATCGATAATTTACCACATTTAAAACAAACGCAACACTACAAAAACTAATTACAAGCATACAATTGCAAAGTCTTTCTAGCCATTTCAACCCCAAGCAACACAGCCATTATGACAATGGTGAAGACTTCGCATAAGGCCTGGGATTATTTTACTAGGATTATAAGCTGGTTCCCAACAGCAAATCGCCTCTCTCCACGCCGCTGGATAACCCAAGGGAACGTCATGTGGATGATACAGCTTGGCACCAGTGACGTCGCAGGAGTTGTTGGAATGCTTTATGAGGCCCGCCAGCACCCACTTTGCGGCCCACGAAGTAACGAACTATTCTTTATTCTTATTATTTTCTTCATAGCTTTCCCCCTGTCCTTTTTTCTTTTGGCCCGCACAAGTTTTTCATAAAGTAGTACGACCCGCCTTACATTTTGAGTTGTGCAGGCCTGGCCTACGGGACTCCATCTCCGGGTTTGAATTCAGAGTTTTCTTCTCTTAGATGAGTTGCAATCCAAGGTTAACGAGTCCCATTCACCCGGGGTGCTGGTGATGTTTTTGCTTGACTGTGCTTTTTGGCTAAAATTGAACTCCAGACCATTAGCTTGGCATTCGCTCAGTTTAGACCATTCGGCCACCAGCAACAAATGATTTACAGGACAACATTTCTTCAGCAAAATATCCTTAATCAATATATCTTACGTAAGTTATCAATAGAGCTTCACTGTCTCTCAAAGTTGATTCATCCATTTGCACTGAGAATTTTCTTGTTTTCAGCTTTTCAACAAGTTGTATTTCAATACCTTCACTCATTTCGTCTATTCTTCTAGTAACAGCATTGTTAGTGAATGGCACAGCTTTCACGTCTCCGCCATCTTTTTCCAGAACCGTTGAAATGCTGATATTGATGGTTTGATTAGATTCTCTCCTATAGTACGATTTTCCCATATTTAGCAATAAGTACGGAAATTTCATAACTATAGATAGCCTCAAGAGTAAGATTGCCAGCTGCAGTATGAGCAGTAAATAGATACTTTAATGTTGCTTTTTTTTCCCTTCAAAATACAAGTTAAATCATAGTAGATGTTTGGTTTTCAAACACTAGACAGCTCATTTTCCAATTGCCCCCCTCCCTAAAAAACTCAAATTGCCCCCCCCCCTGTGCCCCCACGTTGGGAAACACCGCTCTGAACAATAAGTTCATAAGATAAATCGCATGAATCATTGAGTTGGCTGCGGCCCCAAGAGTCTTTTTCTTGACACTCTGGGTGAGCGAGCCAGTTTACAACACCCTTAAAGGTCACATTTAGCACCGAAAGCGTTCCATCATCCTTGATTTAACATCTTGATAGTAACGCTGACAGTTTGATGAGAGTCCCTCTCTCAGTATGCTTCCAAATACCGTTCAAGTTGATGTCGTCATACGAAATGAAACGGGCATTTCAACCTCCCCCCCCCCCCCCCCAAAAAAAAAAATGTGAGGCTTCTTTTTTTTTTTTTTTTTGTTTTTTTTTTATACATCTGTTTGCACATACATTATAGACTATCAAAGCGGCTATTCGCACCCGGGTACGGGTCACGAAAAAAAAAAAGGTTTGGGAAACACTGGTGGAGACTATAGAAGTCCTATCTGTAGGGGCGGTGGCCATGGCCAGGTATTCATAGACCAATCGATCACGTTGCTGTCATAAGAGAGGGGCGTTGCTGAAAAAATTGCATTATTACTAGCAGCAGAGCGCGGTCTATGCCTTGTAAGCTATGTAGTAGTTGCATTTAAGAACGTTGGAACTAACCGTGAGGCTTTGCGTGCGGCTAGGGTGGATTGATCTGTGACGAGCTCAGCTGCCGGGTTCGTTAACACGTTGTGAGTTTCTGATTTGCTTTTGGATAGTGTTACACGCTCTATGTAATAGTGTGAGTACAGTGAAGAGCTGTTTATTTTTTAAATGAATCCTTGTTTTTACGTGGGCCGAATGGATATTGTTTTTGTCAATCGCCCAATGTCATTATTATCCCTTTTATGACTTAGTTTTTTTTTGTGTGTGAACAATTTATGTGTTTGCATGTCATAATGTTAAATTATTTCGTTGCAGCACAAACAATCATTTTGGGTATTGATTTTAATATTTACACGCTTTTAGCCCGTCAATCATGGCGGCGGCAGGGTGTCAATTTCCCATCTACTAAAGGTACTTGATAAAACAGGCACTCATGTAACGCACTTTTTTAATAATCCCAATTAGTGCTACACCCCCCCCCCCCCCCCCCCCCCCCCCCCCCCCCCCCCCGTAGTACACCATCACACACTTGTTCACACCCTTAAACTATATTCATTACTAATATTCTGATGTCCAACACCTTAAAAATTTACACCGAATATTTAATACACCAATATTTAAATTGAGACTGTTTCAATTTCCGTCAAACAAAAGAAAACATTACGCACCAAACGCACTTGCACCATTTTATTTTATTTATTTTATTTTTTTGAATCTCATTTAACGCAGTTATCGGGAATTTTAATTTTACGCTATATAACTCATCATTACGACCAGACTTTCTCTCACACCTAGAGAATTGTATGAATTGATTTTTTTTTTTTAATTTTAAAATAAGCACCCGATTGCTAGACGCCATCTCTAAATTTTCAAGGGCTCAAGTACAGATAGAAAAACTATCAATCATTGAAACAAATCTCTCTCTCAGTCTCACACGCAAAAACTCTCCCCCCAGTGGCGTTGCGACACCAGGTCCCGCCGGGTCCCAGGACCTGGTAAAAAAAAACTTGGGACCTGGCAAATGACCTGGTAAATTTTTATTAGTTATATTACTTAATAAATAAATTTTATTTTATATACATTTATTTGGGACCCGCCAAATTTTTTTAAAGTTCTGCAAGGGACTCGCCATGTTAAATTTCATGGCGTCGCCACTGTCTACCCCCCCCACCCCCACCCCCCCAATCCCCCTTCTCTCTCTCTCTTACACACACTACTCATGATATCGGTGAATAGCTTTGCTAGCTTGCGGTTATACTATAAATACTGGAGGGCACCTAACAGACTTTTCATATAGGCTACTGTATTTTTATACGGAGTGGCCGAATGGCAACATGTTTATCATGGTTATAAATAACCCTCATCAGCGGTTCCTAAAGTACGTGGTACCCCTCGGGGATGTTGTGATTTCTAAGAGGGTTGCTGAGGGGCACAAAAGGTAAAATGGGGCGTTGAGATTAACTAAAGGGAAAAATACCATTAAAATACCATACGTAATAAAACACAATTTAATTCTATGTAGAAATGTTTTTGACTAAATATTTTTTTAATTTAAAAAAAGAAATATAGATTATATATTTTTTTTATTTAAAAAATTATTAGTTTTTTTTTTTTTTTTTTTTTTTTTGGGGGGGGGGGGCATAATCAAAAACTTAAAAAGTGACCTTAAAGGGTCGCTAAAGTGTGTATGTATGTTTTACGTATATGCAATCCATCACAAACCTCTGGCTTTACTACACATAAAATAGACTAACCGTAATCACTTGCATGCCATTGAAACAATCATGAAGGGAATGAATTGGGTACATTTAAAGCTCATTCTCTCTCTTTCTCTCTTAAAAAAAGAGATCTTAAAAAATTGTGAGAATTTTAAATTATACTTCATCTAAAATTTATTCACAACCAAAAGACAAATGTGAAATCCCTGTTTAAAGCTGTTGCTTTACAATATGAGTGTTTTTAGATACACGCATGTCCCTCTCAATGGTGAACGTTAAGACTTAATAACACATAGACGCATGTCCCTCTCNACTTAATAACACATACACGCATGTCCCTCTCAATGGTGAACGTTAAGACTTAATAACACATAGACGCATGTCCCTCTCAATGGTGAACGTTAAGACTTAATAACACATAGACGCATGTCCCTCTCAATGGTGAACGGTAAGACTTAATAACACATAGACGCATGTCCCTCTCAATGGTGAACGGTAAGACTTAATAACACATAGACGCATGTCCCTCTCAATGGTGATCGTTAAGACTTAATAACACATACACGCATGTCCCTCTCAATGGTGAACGTTAAGACTTAATAACACATAGACGCATGTCCCTCTCAATGGTGAACGTTAAGACTTAATAACACATACACGCATGTCCCTCTCAATGGTGAACGTTAAGACTTAATAACACATAGACGCATGTCCCTCTCAATGGTGAACGTTAAGACTTAATAACACATACACGCATGTCCCTCTCAATGGTGAACGTTAAGACTTAATAACACATAGACGCATGTCCCTCTCAATGGTGAACGTTAAGACTTAATAACACATAGACGCATGTCCCTCTCAATGGTGAACGGTAAGACTTAATAACACATAGACGCATGTCCCTCTCAATGGTGAACGGTAAGACTTAATAACACATAGACGCATGTCCCTCTCAATGGTGATCGTTAAGACTTAATAACACATACACGCATGTCCCTCTCAATGGTGAACGTTAAGACTTAATAACACATAGACGCATGTCCCTCTCAATGGTGAACGTTAAGACTTAATAACACATAGACGCATGTCCCTCTCAATGAACAAAAAGACTTAAAAATCATAACATTACAAATTACCATAAGTATGTGCAAAATATCATGCAGTTGTGAGGGAATAGGGTCAAGGTCAATCAAAATGAAAGCGGTCATGTCTATTTTTAATAGGTTTACACTTTGACTTAAGCATATATCTATAACCTTTCCCTTTGATATTAGAATCATGAATGGTGGAGATCACAGCATGCGTGCACTCAAGACCCACCCAGTGTGGAAAACAAGACGATCAAATCGTGCGACAGACGACTAAGTCTTCACATAGACGTCCTGAACAAAAGGTGTGAAAAGATCACCGCGAGAATAACCAAGAGCATGAATGACGCCAGGAGAAAGCTGAACCGGACGTCTCCGGTCACCACTACCGATAACTCTCAAGCACAACAAGACGGGGTTGGTTGTAGTTGTAAACGTAAACGCGATTTCCTTTCGCCAACGCCAAGGGTGTTCACTCTTGCGAGCAACTATGACGACACGCCAACAGCCACAGCGCGACCAAGGCTTCCAGAGTTACCACACATTGAAGGTTGCATTGCGCCAGGGCGGAAACCAAAAGCTTGTGTCTACGGCGCCGTAAACGTACAGTGTTCCAATTTTCCGTGCCTGCAGCCGAGGACATACCAGAGTTTGGGATTCCGCCCTGATAACTGCTCCACGAATGAGTGGGTCACATGGGCAGATTTGGAAAAGACGACAGCCATAGAGCTAGATGAAAACGACAGATACAATAAGAAGGTCACAGGTCCTTCTCAGTCAAATTTAAATCTGCAAGCCAGATTAAATCATAAGTTTTCATATTTCAAGACAAAAGGCTTAAGACAACAAACGAAATTTGGTTTAAATGCTTATGGGCGAACCAGTTTATAGAGCTTTAATCAAGAATGCCTATTGTATGAAGTAGATTAATAATGGCTATAATATGAAGTGGAAAAAGACTGGCTTTAGTTTGAAGTGGGTCGCATTGTCTTTAGTATGAAGTAGATAAGGAATGGCTTTAGTATGAAGTGGAAAAGAAATGGCTTTAGTATGAAGGGGATCAAGAATGGCTTAAGTATGAAGTGGAAAAGTAATGGCTTTTGTATGAAGTGGATCAAGAATGAATTTAGTATGAAGTGGATCAAGAATGAATTTAGTATGAAGTGGATCAAGGGTGACTTTAGTATGAAGTGGATCAAGAGTGACTTTAGTATGAAGTGGATCAAGAATGGCCAGAGTATGAATTGGGGTAGGAGCGGAGCCATCGCGTCGGCCCTGCAGGGGGCAGGGCCGGCCTTACGGCTGCTGGTGCCCCAGGCAAACTTAAC